CTAGCTCGGTTTTGTGTTCATGTGAGAAATTTCAGGAAATTGTTTACGTGATAGTCTGCACGAAAGTCGTCATTTGCCTTGCTGCAGTTCTGAACGTCTTAAACCCACTCGACCCTGACCCGCCCATAACCATCGGAGCGGCCAAGGATAACTCTGATCTAACCTGTGCAAGGAGAAAAGATCTCTTAAAGAATGCGAGAATGAGTGCGATTCGATTTAGTTAAAAGGTAAAAGCCATGTAAGGTTGACCGGAAAATTCCGATGACAGCCTTATTCCACTACACACCTGTACTTCCTTCCATCTAATCCTAAGATCCCACAAGCTGTAGCAAAAACGTTGCTCACCGATATGAAGTGAGTAAATAGGCCATTTTACAGTTGTGGATGGAAGCAAGGCTGGAGGTGACCTTGTTTTGATATAATACAAACGTTCCTGCTTTATTATGTAAATCAAGTTGTTCTTATGCTAACTAGTATTTTTCAAAAACAATTTCCATAACAAAGCAAAGGAGATTTGTATCAAAAAAACGTCAACCTCAGCCTCACATTCACTCGAAGGCTAGGGCACTAAGTCCACAACTGTAAAATGGTCTTTTGCCGGTTAAAAAAAAAAATTGCAAGAGACAAAAAGGGAAGACAGGGAAGAGACAAACGAAAGGTAAACGTCGAGACTGCTGTGTCACGAGATTTTTCATTCTGCGCATGCCCCAACTTTAAAAGCTGATATTTTGCATCTGCAGTAGAAGGCCGCCAAGTGCTTGACCTTGACCTCGTTTTTGGCTGTTTATAGTCCAAAATTGACCAGGAAACGGCTAGCTTCAAAACGCGTTTTTCGGTAAATAAAGGAGCGAAAGGATTATCCATTGCTTGTGAAATATTCACTAAAGAGAGAACCATGAGAGGCTCAAGTACGTACTCATACAACGGAAAAATTTGAGCTCAAGATCTTGGTTAACTGAGACCTCATAAGAACAGGTCCTAAGTTGTCTTATGTTAATGTTCGCGAGATAGACTACAAATAGCCCCTCAATTTCCTCAAGGACCGTTGAGCGTGTGATATACACTAGAGTGCCTGAAAATCCCCCATGGGAGACGATTTTCACTCGCGTTTACTTCTTTCACTTGCTCAACTATCCCTCTGGAAAATGAGGGGCTACTCGTAGTCTATTCACGTGATATAAGTACTTTATTTCATTGGTTGTCATTTCAGTACACTTACCTATTGGCTTACATTCTGCTGAGTACAGGCTGGTTGGGTTATTGAGTCAATACCTTTTAGTTGGAACCAAAATAGAAGAACAACACAACTGCAATCAGACACACCAGTCCAGCAATCACTACCTTGATATTCGTTTCACCAAACCACCTCCCTTATGGAGAAAAGAAAAAATAGAGAAAAATATAATATTTTACTGACCTGGTACATATAACCTACATGCTTTAAACCAACTCGTTGTAACGTTTACATATCACAGTGAAAATAATAATAATAACAATAATAATAATAATAATAATAATCGAGTCGAATCGAGTCCGCCTGCACGTTTAGGGATGGTTTGAGTTTTCTTATGAAGAGCATCTCCTTAATTAGGCAATCAAATTTGTTAGAACCTTTAGTGAGCACGTGAAATTGTTCTGAAAGAAAAGGTGGTACGTCCGAGTTATGTTCGCTAAGATAATTAGATTATTATTATTATTATTAAAACTCAAACCATCCCTAAACGTGCAGGCGGACTCGATTCGCGCAAAGGTATTCACTTGAAGAACTTGTGATCCTTTGTTATTATGCTAATTTGTAGAGACTATAGAAATCAAATCTTCGCATTACTTATTCATTTTGCCTTGAGAATAGTGTCATGATGATACCGAAACGTCGGCTTTTAACGTTAATATTCGCTTGCTTATGTAATAATAATAATAATAATAATAATAATAATAATTGCTGCGGAGCGACCGAAGGGAGCGAGCAGCAACATAATCAGGATTTAAAGGAAATATATAAGGGGCGACGAATGCTCGAATTCATCACTTTTTACCACAATGCATTGCATTTAACCACACTTTTTACCACAATGCATTGCATTTAACCAGAGTGCATTGCGCCACGAACAACTCAAATAAAAACACGGGGAAGTTCGGTGAGTGAGAGAGTGGATCGTTCGCTGCTCAGACTTAGAGTTTTCTTTGTGGCAAATTTTCTACAGCACGGTTAGAGGTCTTACCAAATTTTAAGACACGCAGGAGTCTTTCAGATGAGTACGATGGTTAATTTGGGGATTGGATTTCAATTCAAGAGCCTTTTTGACTCGTCCAGGTGTTAAACCTGACGAGAAGATGAGCATTTGCTCTTCGACTCCGCAACACAGGGGATATATAAATTCCAGCTTGCTAGAAGGTGATGTGAAAGTGAGAAAATGTCATGCAATGCTATTCTTAAGAAACTGTATGAGCCGAAAATGGATGTGATTTTGACCATTCGCTTCAAAATAACAGCGGAAATCGAGATAACAAAGCATATGTTTTGTGTCCTATTTTGCAGACGAGGACGTGTATCGGCATTTTGAAAAGCATAATTATGTTCTTTCATTCATTTATTGCCATGGAATATGCGTTTACATTGTTTTTTCACTGTCAATAGCTCGGTTAATGCGGCTGGCGATCATCTTGCCAGCGGAAGTCTCATGGAAAAGGAATAAAATGAAAGACTTTTCCTACAAACTATGTAGTCAGTCTCTGTGGTGTAGTACTTAGGTGTAGTCGTGTCGAGGCGAAGGTGCTGGGTTCGAATCCTACTGAATTATTTATTCCTTTCTTCTTCTTTTTTTCCATTTTTTGTGTTGTTGTTTTCTATAAATATATAGCTAAATAACTGTTACTTAATAAAGTGCAACAAACAGCAAGAAAAGTATTGTGTTTCCAGAGAAAATATCGTGCGCCGTATATTAAATATATGGATAAACTATCTGAATTTCTATTATTTCCTACAATTTACTGTGGGAAAACCAGAGTTGATAACCACTTGATCATTTTCTAAACAACGTTCCCACGAGTTTTTTCTATAGACTGATAGTAATTATTCTAGTACTTTCCAACATGTAAATAGGACATTCAATGTCATTTTTGACTCTTTTAAGTCTCACTACCTAACTAATGCCAGTATCAACAGAATGTGCCGCAGCATTACTATCTTTTAGATACCCTAGTAATAATAATAATAATAACTTTTGTAACGGATGGAATTGTAGATAGTGTTTTGATGAATTAATTAGATTTTTTGTAACAGCAGGTTGATTGTAAATAGGATTTTAATTGAGGTTTTGTAATAAAGATTATAATAATAATAATAATAATAATGACGAAGATAATAATACAACAAAACAAGTTGTTGAGACTTTAAAGAGGAGAGAAAAACACAAAGCATTGCTCCAATATGTTTTCTTTTTTTTTGCTTGACTTTCTCTTCATGAAACTGAATGAAGAAAAATGAAAACGCCCATTCAGTAAGTTCACTTTTAATAGACATCAACACAAAATGTCAATACGGCAACAGTGAAAAAAACGACCGGGGAAGCAAAGGGTGACGCAGTGGTGAGAGCAATCGCCCCCCAGTGCTGTGGCCCGGGCTTCAAATCCTGGCGTCGACGCGATATGTGAGTGGCTCTCTCCCTTGCTCCAAGACGTATTCCTTCTGCCGTTTTTCCGATTTTCCCCTCTCCTTAAAAACCGACACTCAACATTCAATGTGGAAAGCATGGGTACGTCTGCACAAGTTTTTCACAACGTCAAAGTGCTTTGTGGCAAAAAAATCCCAATTTACAATTTTATACGACCGCCACTACCGATGGATAGTTTTGGAAAGCCTAAGAGACGAGACGAAGCAAAGGAAATTTCATTTAAAAAATTCCAAAAGTCAGCCACCAAGCACGACACTTTTGTCATAAAACGACAAAGGCAAGCGTTTGTGAGGTTTTTATATCATTCTATGGTACTGACAACCGTGAAGTTATCACCAAATTTTAAGGGATTTACGGCTGCGTATTACATGCAAATGACCCTACAGTCTTTTTACTTCCGACAACTTTAATTGAAATCGCTGTATTGTATAGAGGATGTACCACTTCATTATAGAATAAAGAATTAAACTCTGAAAAGAAAGTGGAATTGCCAGAGATGGCCACAAACCCTTAATCGAGCATTCGCCCTAGTAAAAGGAATCAGGGATCAACGCGAGACAAATACAAGCATCTTTAAACCTGAGCGGGCTTGATTCCCACGGAGGTTCAAGTTTTCTTTTCTTGACCTCGCGTGGTTACTTGCCTCTACTTATTAGGAATAACTCCCAATGGAGTTTGTAGGTCATCTCTAGCACTTTGAGTATTACATGTCAGTTACACTACAGCCTGTACCCACAAATGAGATTATTTAAGAGGCTTTAAAAAAGTACCAACGAATTAGAGAAATGACAACAAATTTATTGTCTTTATATTTACCCCAAGGTATCTGGCCATCCCTCTTCATGCGTGATTCACAGTTTCTACATTTCCCAACACCTACATATCGTAAAGGAAATATCAACGTTTGTGTCAAATCAATTACACCCTTAAGGCGCCGATTACATTAAAAATTGCATCCTGGTTAGCCTGGCTCACATTTTAGCTCGGCTTCCGGGACAAATCCTTTCACAAAGACGATTGCGATTAACTCGATTACTAAAGAGAGTTTTAGTGAATCGGAGTTGTCAGTATTTTAGCTACAGTAGTTTTAATCGGAGGCGCCTGTGTAAAAGAGTATAGTTTAGTCTGGGCTGAAATTTCAAGCCGGGTATCACAAACCGGCTAAAAAATTTCAGGAAGTGTAACTCTGACCACTTAGTTAAAACTATTGAATACCATTGGCAATAGAGTGTAGGAACCACAACATTAACTTAATGTACCACAGACAGATACCTTGATTCACAAGTGTACTGATTTGCAAGCAAGTTTTAATCGGAGGCGCCTGAGTAAAAGACTATAATAGTTTAGTCTCGGCTGAAATTTCAAGCCGGGTATCACAAACCGGCTAAAAAATTTCAGGAAGTGTAACTCTGACCACTTAGTTAAAACTATTGAATACCATTGGTAATACAGTGTAGGAACCACAACATTAACTTAATGTACCACAGACAGATACCTTGATTCACAAGTGTACTGATTTGCAAGCGGATTGTTCAATTTTTCATCGACAGTTTGCAACTGCAAAAATTACGATTTACAGTGGATAGAGTAAAAAAGAGTAAAAGAAGAAACAGGCATTGGTAAGCAATGGACGCTTTCTAACTGTCCAGTACTTACTTGTGCTCTCAAAGTGAGGCCAGTCTTGAAAAATGATGGCATCGCTGAGAATATGAGCTGTAACAGAAGCTGCCATTAAACTCGCAAATGGCCTCCAAGACGACTCCTTGGATTTGCTGCCACCTGCGTAATCCGAAATCCCTTTAATGACGATCCACTCAATGTCGAGGTCGTGAGCCGCAGCAAACACGCCTAGAGTAAAGATCAGTCATACATGAAGAAGTGAAGTAATTATGACTGAAACACTGTAAATGCACGAAAAGCCAAGAAAAGGCAGCTGGAAAGGATTGTGAGAGATAGTTAAAACAAACTTTGACAATTCGTAATTTAACTGGCTTGATTGCAAGGGCAAGGCATCAATAAGCACAGGCCGATGAACTGAGCATATAATAAAAAAATAAATAGTGATCCAGTCTGAACGATCCTGTAGTTTCCATTTCATTAATCTATTCATAGAATAATCCACTTAAAGGTATTCTGCTAACAAGGAATTTAAAGGATTTGGGCATTTATTTCAATTCACTGACTTGGAGTCATCCTGCCCACTGTGGTCTTATGTCCAAGGTCATTAAAGTTCACTATTGCCAAAAACTCACCTTCACCCTCTTCCTCCATAGCAACTGCTTCTGGGAATCGATCGATGAGTGCCTTACAATACTTGGGGCTATCAATTACTTCTGTGGGCCCACTCAGAATCGTGCCACGGTGTATCTTGACCTCGGCTGCTTTTGGATCTTTTAAAGGCGGCTTCCAGCCATCACCAGCCCTTGGTATCACCTTCAAAAGACGGGACTTAAGTGGGACTTTCACACCGCGTTCTTCAATGCCACCCTCCGTGATTCTGCACGGGCCAGATGTGATTAACTTCTCAAACATTACTATGTCTCCAAGTTTAACTTTGTCGTAGCCTAAGCTCCTACAGGAACCTACACAGAACACTGCTTTGGGCCTTAAGACGTTGACAGCTTTTAATACAACAACCACAGAACCTCCTGGAGTGACGGCACCCCTGTGGCAGCTCATTACAGCAATGTTCAACTTCCTTTCATCTTTTCCCATATCTCCGAGGTACACAAAGCCAAGATCTCTGTGAAACGTCTTACAGAAACCAGGATTCAGATATGACAGACAGCTTAGAAATTCACAATCCTCGACTGTCAGTAACAAAATGTCGACTGGCAGTTGGCAATCATCAAGATGTGTCACACTTTGGGGAAGATCCTGCTTCTTAAGCAGGTTAATGATGACTTCTGGTGGAACAGGGGTAGATCTTTCCGATGTAGTTTCTGTAAAAAAAAAACAATGAATATTGTTGGAATGATTAATGACCATGTTGTTACTAAATAAACAGTCAAAATTTTCTTTCAGCCCTTACGAATAAATAATCGCATTTATCGGAAAGACATGTTTATTAGCTACATTGCGTATGGACGAATTGGACAATAGTTAAGAAAGATTATTCACGTCTAACGGGTTCAACATTTGGAGACAAAAAAATGTTATGGTGATTTTGTGACAAAGTTAAGTTGAGTTCAGACTATATTGTCATTCCGCACGTTTAAAAAAAAATCCAGGCACCAAGAAAGAGCTGCCAGGATTCGACATGATCTCCGGTTATGACAAAATTTAGACAGTTTTTTTTAAAATTCTTCCCAAGATCTTACAACAATGTCGAGAGGGGTGTTAATAGTTCTCAAGGGCGCACTTTAATAAACCTTTCCACGTTTTTTAATTTTTGACGTGGACACGTTTGGGAAAATTCGTCAACTGCGCTGTAAAGAGCGCCTTTAAATTAGCAAAATTGCCAAGTTTGAAAGTGATTTGTTGAAAACTAATGAAGATGTAGCTTCTTCTTCTTTTACAGAAGTTTATATAGTGGAGGGCAGGAACTCCCCCCCTCCCCCCACCATGCAAACGTCTGTAAATTTTCACAACCTTGCGGAGCTGTATCATCACTCGCTTACGACGCATCACTTCAAGACTTGACAATTTTGCTAATTTTAAGGCCATCTTTCCAGCGGTGTCGACGGATTTTTCCTTACAGTCACGAAAAAGTTGAAAAAACCGAGGAAGGGTCTAATGGATCGTCGCTCTGTTGTTTGACCCTTCCCATCGTATCTGTTTTTGTTCTGTAAAAGTCGTGCAAATAAATAAATAAATGCAAATTAAAACTCACAAAGAGGGCTCTTTTCAAAATAGCATTAAATAGAAAAATTACATTCAAGAGTTATTAGTCAAAGCGGCAGCAAAACAAAAAGGATATTAAAGGAATGCTAGCAAGTGGAAAATACATATTTAGGTACTTTTATAAGGATCTCATCGATTCAGATATAAAAGACTGGACACGGAGACAGTAACGGTGATTTACAAACTACAGGTATCAAAAATTCATGCAGAAAATGAACGACATGAAATCTGATCTACTTGCAAGATAGATTTAAAACACAAAATAATACAAAACAGATTGCAGAGGTTAATACTAACTCTCTGTCAAAAGTAGGCCTTACTCAAATTTTCTTATTCTTTTTTAACAGACAATTTGAGCCTTAAAATGCGTATGGGAAAGAGTTAAGACAGTTTAAAATTTTCCAAATTGACAAGGATTTGTATGGAAAACCACTCAAGCATGACAGGGTGGCAAGACTTGTTTTTCTTGACAAATCCTTCTAATTTTCGGTGGCGAAAGTAATCGCTACTTTCGAGATATACGACTGAAAATTTACAGGTGACCTAATTTTAATATGCTCTTTCAATTCCTGCTAACAAAATTTTCTAAAAGAGAACTGTTTTCGTGTTTTCAGAAAGTTAATCACATGCCCAACAACTTTTCCTGTTTGCCAAGAAAAGAGCAACCACAATAAATGGGGAGGGGAGGGGGGGGGGGCTTACCTTTCATAGGAGCTATGCGGTGTTTTTCATTGTTGTCACGTTGAGTCACATCTTTCTGCTGTAAATACAGATACAGGAAATGACTTTAAATCATAGGAAATATTAATTAAGGATTCGGTAATGCACCTCCAGCCAAGCATCCATTACGAAATACCAAACAATAATAATAATAATAATAATAATAAAAAATTACTATTATTATTAATCATTAATACTATTATCATCGTCACTACTGTTATTATTACAAATTTAAAGAATAATGTCAATGTTAATGGGGCCTTAGGATCAGTTTCAAAGGCCAATGAAAGCATATAATAAATAGTGATCCAGTCTGAACGATCCTGTAGTTTCCATTTAATTAATATATTCATAGAATAATTAACTGAAAGGTATTCTGCTACCAAGGAATTTAAAGGAGTTGGGCATTTATTTCAATTCACTGACTTGGAGTCATCCTGCCAACTGTGGTCTGATGGCCAAAGTCACCAAAAGTTCACTATTGCCAAAAACTCACCTTCACCCTCTTCTTCCAAAGCAACTGCTTCTGGGAATGGTTCGATGAGAGCATTACAATGCTTGGGGCTATCAATCACTTCTACGAGTCCATTCAGAATCGCACCTCGATGTATCTTAACCTGGAGTGCTTTGGGATCTTTTAAAGGTGACTTCCAGTCATAACATCACCTTCAAAAGACCGGACTTCAGTGGAACGTTATTCAATACCACCCTCGAATTCTTATTGGTAAGTTTATTTTAGGGAATTTAAGGGGAGACTGGACTCATTTGGGTGGAAGTATTAGTTATGAATGCTCAACCAATAAGCCATTTGCACGACGACATCTTTTTATCACTAAGACCAGAATTCATTAATTTTCGTTCTTTCTATGATATTTAAATTTGGTAATCCCAGCGAGGTTTAAATAACAGAAGCCCTTATTTACACAAGAAAGCAAAATTACACAAGAAAGAAAAACCCTGAAGTGGTGGTAGTGGTAGTGGTAGTGGTAGTGGTAGTGGTAGTGGTAGTGGTAGTGGTAGTGGTAGTGGTAGTGGTAGTGGTAGTGGTAGTGGTAGTAGTAGTAGTAGTAGTAGTAGTAGTAAAATGACGACATCGTGCAAATGGCCTATTTGAGAAACACCCACTAACGTTTATCCACCCAAACTATTCCAGAAACCATTGTCACCAAAGCTTGTACCTAAAGTTTCTTGGCGAATGAGCCAACGGGATCGTGTTTTGGAAAAGCGAATTTAAGAACTAACCTGAGTGAGAGGAATGTTGCTTTGCTGAGAATCCGAGAAACAAAACCAATGTTCAAACATCGTGATGGTAATTGTGCGATCCCCAAAAATGCCAGATTCGTTGCAATGTTGCCGCTCACGCAACTCTGACTCCGACAAAAAGTGCACGCACTCGCAACCACGCCTGCCATGATCACGGCACTTGACACCGTCTTCTTGAGAACATACCGGACAGCAAACGCACATTTTGTACTTCGCGTGCTTCAACCAGAAGAACTCCTTGCAAATATGTTGAAGAAGACATTTCAGTTGCGAATAAATGGTTCGACTTGTATTCAGATCACAAGCATCCTTTCCATCGTGAAAAACTATTTCGATAGACGAGGAATGCAACATAAATACTACAGAAATTGCACGATCAGGAAGAATGTGAAACATAGCAAAATTATTGAACAAATCAGGATTTATGTCGCCCTTCCACTCTGTTTGACACAACCAATGAAACTGCAGTACAAGTCGCGAGAACAAGCCTGGAGGAACTCTGCCTGATTCAAACACCACAAAAAGTGAAGGGGTCCGTACACAATCAAGGTGCTTAAGGACATCATCTGTTGGGGGAGACATTAACATGGATGGCACAAGGTACTTCTGAGTGGTCCCGTCTGAGGGCCATGCACAAAGTAGGCTAAATTTCTCCATTATAGCAATGAGGCTCTCGTAGGTTTCTCGATTATCAGACAAGGGTCTCCACACATGATTTAAAAGTGTTTCATCCAAGATTCCAGTCTTTTCAAAATCACGCCATAATCTCGCAACTCTTTTATCCGTTTGCTTGAAATGTTTGACAGTAATCACCTCCTTGAAGATGTCAATGAGCCACTGTGGGCTCAAAATAACCATTTTTTCCAAATTTGTTGTTTCGCTAAAGTGAATCAAAATTCTCTGATCGTGTAAAAAGTTAAGCAGTGTTCGAAACTGTTGATCGTCATCAATTCCACACTCATCAGAGGCAATCTGTCTGGCGTGCTCGATGGGTATCCACCTATAGCCTTTCTCGCTCAACAGACGGAGAACCTTTTCATACTTTAACCACTTTAGAGGAACGGCCTTTTTAATCTGTGGAAGCTCCTTGGCAACAGAAAGTACTGTTTCTCTCAGATTTTTCACGTCTTGGCACTCATCATTACTACCTGACTTTGTGTTGTCTACAACAAACACGTCTTTTAGAAGATCACCATAAATCTTGTCTTTTAAAGTGGCAAAGATTTTTTCGGCAAGTTCTTTTGGGTTAGCCTCTTTTTTGTAAGGCATGTCAGCATGCGTACACGCCAAGAATACTGCAGGCAACATTTCAGGTGACAGGGTTTCCTGACGGTTGGTGCTTGGACTAACCAAAGAATAAACTGATGTCATCCAGAAGTCAAGATAGTCGCCATTTGTTTTTTTGCATTGAGTGTCTAATTTATTTTCAAATATGCCTTTTTTCGTAGGAGCTTTGGCTTTCTGGTCTGGATCACGACTTAGATCACATGCTAAAATGTAGATGGCTTGTTTTGTCAGAAAAATTGGATGTGTGGCGTAGTAAACAGACTGTCCTCCAAAATCCCAAATGATGGAATATATGTTGTCTTCGTCCTCAAACTCTTTGCTTTGTTCAAGCAAATTTTGAACCAATGCTGCTACGTTTTCTGGTAATTCTGGTACAGACAGATGATCTTTGGAGTCTTGAAGTGTTGGATCACTCCCGCACTGTTCTGCACGTGATGAACTGGTTTGGGCTTTCTCAGGTACATTGGAGGCCTGAAGTGATAGCTCGGTTCTGCTACTGCTCAGATCTTCTGTACGCAATGAATAGGGTTTGGCTTTCTCGACTGCTTTGGAGTCTTGAAGTGAATGCTTAATCCTGATACTGCTAGATTCCCCTGAACGTTCAGTAGGCAAAGAATTCGCTTCTATTTGCTTGACTATTCTGGAATCGTTAACTGATGGCTTGGCCCCGCTAGTACTAGGATCCCCGAAACGGTCTCCTTTCCTTAAGCTTTCACATATCTTCTGGGCTACCTGGTGGTCTAACAAAAACGTTGGCTCTGATTCGGTATCTTCGCTTTTCTGGCCTGTCCTCCAGACGTCTGTCGAGACTTTAAAATAAGACGGATCTGTCTCTATCCCTTTCGTGCTTCCTTCATTTGGATTGAACAATTCCCCTTTTAACCACCTCTTCAGACTGGTTTTCCCTGTCCGGGCCTGCCCAATTATCATGACGGGAACTCTTCTTGCGAAACCTTTTCCTTCCAAAAGAGCTCTTCCGTAGGCTTCAATCGCTAGCCTCCCTCTGGCAAGAATCTCTGACGGAGCTAATGATGTAAAATAAAACACCTGTATCAAGTAATAGTCTATTGCTACGAGCTAAATTCGATTACTTAAGATTAAGGTTAATATTACAAACTTTTTTCTTTGAGTGATACCTTTCAGATCAAACTGAAGATTTAAGGATTTTGCGAATAATTATAACATCTTTAGCATGAAAATAGAAGGGGGGAGTTGGGTTCGCAGGAAATGTTAAATTGCACATTGACGATTTTAAATTCATTACCTAGGCGAAGCCTAATGGCACTTCAAACGAATACTTACGCATGATCCAGGAGCCAATGAATGGTGCATGGTTTCAATCTGAAACCGTTGTGTTCTTGTGAAAGAACGCATTGTCGAACTTGCTGGTTTTTGCCACTCAGTTTTATAAACATGCAGAGTGAGACAACAAACAGCGGGAAATATAATATCTAACAATTTGGGTGCTTTAATTCGGAGCCAGTCATCCAAGTTCTAGTCCAACCTCGCCCGACCGGGCATAACTTTGCGAAACAGACCACCAACGAAACTCATAAATCTTCCCATGGTGCAGAACTCTAACACAGAGATGCATTGATATTTCATGCTTGGGGACATTAAGAAAATTTAGCTGAAGAAAATTAAAACCTTCCGTTGTCGACTAATAATCTATTCTAGTCAATGTTGTGATATATTCCCAGATTATACCATACCGAAATTGCGACCCTTAAGCGACCGCCAGCTAGTACCGAAAAAGGCATTTTTTTTTTAACCAAATCCACTTTGGGGTGGGTTTTTGGCCAATAAGCATGAAAATCGAGATAAAAGAAACACTGAGGGCATATTTATTTTCCTGCGGATTTGATAGAGTTAACTTGCTTGTTTTTTGCGCACGCGCATAAGCTTTTTTTTGCGAATCTATTTCGACCTTTCTTTCTCGCTTTTTTCTCTTGGCCTTTCTTTCTTATATTACAGCTTTTATGCTCATTGTGTTTCTTTCCCAATGAATTGTGGCTGGCTATCTTCCAGGAAAGGGGGAAATTTTTATCTGGAATGAGTAGTAGGTAAACAAGGAAATTGACAGATTTTTCTCCATAATGTCAGGTTTATCGTGTAACTCTAGTGGGGTTGGTCAGAATTGTCAAATGAGGAACGTGTGTGTTAAGGTCGTGTTCTCCGTACAACCCGCGTAGGTTATCACGTTGGTAAACCCATAGAAAGTGTGGTCTATTGCTTTCATAACATAGCGTGTCTTTTGTCTACAGTGATCATAAGCTTATCATAACTCACGATTTAATAGCGCCGCAGAAATAATCTAATGCCTCACTTTCATCAAACAAGAAACAGCGGCACTTCGGTTACTTGATAGATAATGTTTACATTATTTAGCATTTGGTTTTTGGCATCTGCTTTTTGGCATATAATGTCGGTTTTAAAAAGTATTTCGTATTTCTTCAGCATTTCTTCGGTAACTTTTTGGCATCTCTATAGCACTCACGCTTTTAACGGAGCTAGATCCTTGCCCGAAGCTGTGCGTGTTCTGACCTTAGGAATTCAGACTCGACACAGTCGAAGTATCCGATTACATGTGCAACTGAATATTCTAGAAACTTGTTACTAACTTTCTCATGTGAACGTCAACGTCGCTTTACAATTCGAGGTACCATTGAAAGATTAGGTATTTGTAAGGTAGATAAACCACTGCACAAGTTCCTTATTTTCTAGTTCAATGAAGGATGTTTTTTATTACGAGTTAGGACACAGTGCGAGCCATGCGAAAAAAAAAAAATCGAAAAAAATCGAAAAAGCAGTAATACGGAAAAAAACAAGACGCTGTGTAAGCGTATATTTGGGCGTGGTAGGACTAAGGGTATGATACTTTCAACATGCCTTATTGCGGCTAAAGAACTGTCATCATATCTTACCAGAGAAGACAAATCCTTCACTCCACTTGTTTGCTGAACCACACAGCTTATACAGTATGTCCCAATCCACAACAAAAATAATGTCATTTCACGACAATGTTTGAAAATATGCACATCTTCAATGCAGACATGCTTGGAGCCAAATTGCAACGTAGGACATAAGTGGTTACGGCCCAGAGAGTAAGGTTTATCTCAGCTCCACTGATACTGACAGATGTGTTTTCACACCCATCACTTTGTACGGTGTATTCCGGTTACTAACAAGGGCAAATAAAGTTCCTTAAGTGCAGTATCCACAAGGATTAATAAGAGAGTAACACATTGCATAAACTGCTATAGGGTAACACTGTTTACAGGAACATTGGTAACTATTAACGTTTGATATACTACAATTAATGTTCAACATTGCTTGAGAAAAGATGAGGTTCAAAGGTGGCAATATGGACACCTTTAAGTTCATATATATCCTCATTCCTATGTAGAATCTGAAAATGTTGTACTAATTTATGCATGGATGGTATTTCCAACAATACACATGTCCCTTCACTATGACTGTTATGATACATATCTCTAGCATGAGAATCAAATACATTATATCCCCCTGCCTCAGTGCTGTAGATACCAGCACCAATAATTGCCACCGTTAAAATGAATGAGTTGTAGTTCAGTGCTAGTGTTTCAAATGCTGTAACCTGTGAGTGGCATATACAGTAGTGATGGATATCACAAGTATAACTGTCACTGCATGTATTCGAGGTGGAAAAATTGCTCAAACACTGTAACCATTCCTGGCAATTCCGTTAACATTAACGTAGATTGTCTTGCAAGCAGTGACAGACTAGAATATAATTGAATACCAACAATCATTTTTTGAGTCATATCATCAACTGAAGTAATCTTTGTTATCTTACAGTAAAATTAATTAAAGCGCACAGACTCATTGCGACACATCGTTGTCCACCATTTTCGCCAAATCCTGTAACATTTCCTTGACAGTATGGAGCATTAATTGTTTTTGTAGCATCTACATAAACTGAAGGTCCTGGATTCTTCTCTATATCAGTACAAAGCTTAAATTGGCCAAAATTAACCCGGTGGATAATTACTTTTACAGAGGGGCAAATTCTTACTTAGAAGCCTATTTGGATATCTCATTCCACCTAAATCGCCTGTGCTCTGATGCTTAGACGACAGATACACCTTCCCTCGTTTACGAGCTAGTTTTGGAGTTGCCCCTTAAGTAAAAACCTCACACTGTTACAGTTTAACTTCTGTACCTGTTTAAGTGTAAACCTTTTCTATTTTTAACGTAACAATGAATTTCAGACGACAATGGTGTATTTTTCCGAATACCCTTCCATACAAAAAGTGTCACTTTCCGTGTTTTCTGTAACAAAGATTTTAATTTGCTCATCGGTAGTCTGCTAGGGGCATGACGGTAACCGGACATTTCGTTCCATGGTCAGATCGTTGACATCGTTCCAAGTCAGATCGTTCCAATCAATAGTCAGATCGTTCCATAAAATAGTCAGTTCGTTCCACAAAAAAGACAGTTCGTTCCACATATGAAAAGTCAAGTAAATCTTTCTAAATTTGTTGAGTGAACTTTATTGAGAAGAAAAACGTTTCGTTCATACCACAAGCTGATAAAATAATAATCGATCCAAAGTCGATTCGATCCATCCTAAATCGTTTGAAAGCAAACAAGAGACGATTTCAACCAGCCACGGGCTTTAACATTTAAACCGCTGCTTTGAGAGTTTATGAGCTAGAATCGATCGATAGTTTTGAAAAATATACCACAAGTAAAAGCTATGCCGTTCTGAAGGTACAGTATTTCGAAGCGCTTGTAACCTAAATACTTCTTTGCAGCGCCCGATTTATGCAAATTTTGAAAGCAACGCGAGTTTCGAATTACAATCTCGATTTTATGGTAATTTGTCATGCCGAAATATAATTGACTAACCTGATTTAAACCAATGAAATTGTAAGTTCTGTTATGAATAAATTTGCCACGACGAGATCTAAATTCAACCCCTTTTTTTATTCCTCCACAACACAAGTTTCCTTCTGTACAACTAGCTCATTACCTTCTCTTGTCGTCACCCCGCTGCCATCAAAACACTCGACACAAAACTTGCTGATAATGCAAAATCTCGACGCACAGCACCATACATGTACCGCGTCACAACATACACAATTAGATGAAAAAACACAACACGCAATACAAAAAAAAGTTCATTAACCGTCACCCTGCTAAACAAAATTGAAATAATAAAAAGAATTGTTGCAGTTATCACCGTAGTTCCAAAAGAAGCCTCAGTCCTTTTTGGTTTCAATTGTTGACAATCGTCTCTTCCTTCATCGGAACAGATTTTTATCACAGACAACTCGCTGTGTTCCGCAATGCAAAGATCAAAATCACTATTGTCACACTAATAACCAGCTACACAAATCTTGCGACTCTCAAACTTGTTCAACATTCCTCTGTTCAAACTCTTACCCATTTGACACGTACACTACTGATATTCCGATTTGTTATTACGTCTCTGGGGTCCATGAGTCTTTGATGTCATTGAATGTCTTGATAATTTCCTTTGTTTTTCTTTGAGTTCGCGGACCAGCCCATTCCGAAAACACTCAGGGTTATATTTTAGTGTGGGCCTACCGCGAACAGTGTGTGCAGTTGTAAGTTTAACCCGGGATAACATGATTGAATTAACACGTTCCTCGAAACGCCGCGGCCAAATGTTATCCAAACTGCTTTTTACTGCTGCTTCGAAAAATTTCGGATCAAACGATATCCAAATCGTCCCTCATTGGATTATCCACTCGACCTAACAAAATCGACCAATCACAAAATAAGGAAAAGAAAATGGACATAAAATAAAGAAAACAGCAAATTCAGATGACCTCTTAGGAAACATGCAATTAAAACTGTCTTTCTGTGATTGGTGCATTTCGATCCTCTCGTCAAAAAAATGGCAGACGTCAATCATCTTAGCGGACCTCTTAGGAAACGAAAGTTTTCTTCAACGGGTCCAAAAGGTCATTGTTTATGATTTGTGATTGGTGGATTTCGATCCGTTTTTTTACTTTCTGTGTTTCAAGGTTCGTTGCTTGTGATCTTATTGTGACCAAAACCCGACGTTAATATTCCAAATATTTTTGATAGATTTCATCTCTGGACTTCAGACTTCCAAATTTCGATGAGGCAAAAATACTGAAGATTCAAATTAACTTTTGAGATCGTAAAAGTGCGATTAAGTGCCGTGTGCTAGGAGAGCTTTCTTTCCCACATGCCTCTTACCTTGTACAAGACCCCGGGTACAAGACGTTCGCATGGCAGACATTCGCCTCGCTTCGCTTGTTTACTTGCCTTGTTTACGTTAGCACGTATTGCGTGCCTTTGCACATTTGCGTCAAAACAAGCCGTTTCCATTACTCTATTTGGGCCACGCCCAAATAATAACCGCAAGCTAACCGTTGTAAATGAGTGTTAAACGCCAAAATGCGCTTAACCCTAATCTGTAAAAAACATTCTTAACCCTAAACAGCGCTTACCCCTAATCCATAAAGCGAGTGCTTAACCCTAGTCAGTAAAATGAGCTCTTAAACCTAATCAGTGAAAGTCGATCAATACTGCGTAATTCTGCAAATATTCCATCAGCAAAACCTCGGAACTTATAAGCAGGACACATTTTTCATGCATTTACAATGCCATAAAACTCGATTTTTCCCGATGGCCCGCATGGCTCGCTGATTGTGGGGACCCTTTTATTATTAATGCACTAAACTCTTTGTTGTGCAGTAACCACCTCTACCTACATTATCATTACCACCTTTACTTTTATCTTGCTTTTATCAATATTGTTACAGATTCTTTTCATTCTCATCACAACCATCATCATCATCATTGTCATCATTATTGTTATCATCATCACAACCATCATTATCATAAAAAAACACCTTTCTCACTTTCAAAGTTTTAAAGTTATGATCAAGTCCTCCGCTTGACCGCTTCTATGTTCCAAGATTTAAATAATTAACTATCGCAGCTTAGAAGGAGTGAAAATGATGATTAATATTTGGTTCGTTGGGTCTGCAGTTACGCTGCAATCAGAATGATATACCTGACTACAGGTGGAGCATGGTTCTATAATCAAAAGTGATCATATGCAAATTTCCATCAAGTTAGCGGAAAATCTTTAGAAAGCTTCTTTGATTTACATAAAGGATGGAATTTCTTAGCATAGAAATTTCTTACGATTGCGGTGTCATTAAACGATATCGATCGTGGGACTACAGTGTCTGTAGAAAGCGTTCCTTCTATTAAACCACAATCGGTAGCTAGTTGAGAATATGCTTGTTCGAGTCAAAAGACCACATACTCTTCAGTACAGAACCTGAAGCTCTCTGTGGAGTAGGCAAAGTGGCACTGATTTCAAATTATATTTTTCTCTTATCAAAACTCATTTTCATAATCCTTACCATTCCTTGGTAAAAGGAAAATAAACCTGAACCAAGGTAAATTTTGGCCTGATGTATAAAAAATTAATATTATATTCATTTTTCTTCTCTTGGTGATGCAATGCTCTAGCTGGTAATTTGGCCTTGATAATTAAAAACAGTGAGCTAACTTCCATTTCCTCTTTTGGAGAGATTTGTATTTCACTGAATGTAAAGTATTTGGACCTTTCTTCAAGGCAAGCTGACATGCAATCCCTTTTCTTTTTGTGCTTAACTGATCAGGCCATTCAATATCTTTTAGCAGCGGTTGTATAGCTTTTGATCATCTCCCTTTTAGTTGGCTTTTCCTTTGTTTGTCTTCTTTTCACTTGACTTGATCTTTGCTAATCTAGATCCCAAATTTAACCTACGTAGGGATGATTGCAGTTTATTTTTGAAGCTAACCTGCCACATGGCCCCTGAATGCAATTCCATGTGAGGCACAGCTAGTTTTAATCTCTTACAATTTTCTTTGATTAACGCTATACAACAGAAATACTAGAATCTGCGAACCTTTGGTTACCTTTCGTTTTTGTTTTCTATTTTAAACCTTAATCTCTGCACCATTTCATCCGATTGCCCAGGGGTGTGATTGTATTATCATTGTAGGATGGGTTTCAGAGGGTTTCTATTAATTCGAAATTTTTTACAAGTAACGATAAAACAATAGCAGTAGACTAGTATTTTTCAAAATACATTTTAATTTAAATTAAAAGTGTTCGCAAAGAAAAAAGTGCAGGAAACAGGAAAAAAGCCGAAAAAACTGCAACAGGAAAGGCGAGTATAGCGCTCATACATGCACAGGCAGAAAAAAATAGAAATTATGCTTGTTTTAATTTACCCTTGCATCGAAAGTACATGCTTCTTGGCAAGCGACTGCCCTACGTTTACTCACTGTTTTTCTTGGTGGTTAGAACTAATTGAGAATCTTTTCGAAAAAAAAATATACAAAGGCTCAACACTTTTAAACACCAGAGGGAAAAAACTGCAACAGTCCCATTGATGGGTCTAAGCTGGTTGTAAGTTGGGCAAGGCAGAGCATGTATATCAAGGGTCCTGTAGAATACAACCAAGGTTTCATCACAAAGTGATAAAAATACCTTTTTCTTGCTTTTCTTCCCCTTCATGATCCGTCAAACTTTCTATGATTTTCCTTTCTCCTTCCACGTGCTTTAGTAGCTCTGTTTGTTATCAGAATCAAAAACCCATTGATCAGTCCAGGGGGGGCATCAGAGGTAAAAGTCTACGTTAAATGGAATGATTATCAAGCAAGTGTTGATAAGAATACCACGACGGTACAAGAGTTTCTGGGGGGGGGAGGGAGTAAAGCTACAAAATATCACCACCATCACCACTTTTATTAAAAATCGTCATTTTTTTCCTTTTGCAGGAGGGTCTAGGGAAGCCTAAATTTCAGCTCAAGCTAACTCGAAGGGACAGCTGAAATTCAGGCTTAACTTGGTCTTTGGTTTTCTGCCAATGTCATTACAGCCTACTAAAATAGGGAATGTATCGCAGGTCATGAAGTTACTAACACTCTTTCTTACCATGTATTCTCTTAACTCAAACGATTCACGCCTTACACCCTCACTTCTACCATTTCTTTATCAGACCTGCCAACCCCTGATAAAGGAAAATCTAACAAACCCGTATTCCATTGTGGGAAGAGAAGCGCGGGGGAGGGGGGGCATTAAGTATTTATTTATATATTACCTTTTTCGTGGTCCCTACAAAACACCGCTTTCTTTTATGACTCTACAAGGTCATCACTTGGAAAAAAGGACGAAACTTATAGCAAGCGGTCATTTTTTCCGGATAAGCCAACTACAATCATGGCCAAAAACGTTACTAGCATTCCCAATTGAATTTCCAGTGTCACAAGCTTATTGTTATTTCTTCAATCCACAATAATAATTGACTTTTCAAGTTACCTTCAATCTCATCAAGGCCGTCTTTGCTGCTATCATCATCTTTCTTACACTCCCTCAGTAATTCTTGGTAGTGTTTCTCAATGACAGGATCCATGCTCTGTGTTTTGAGTGTATTGATAGCGGCAGCATCTGCACCCAGTCCTACCAATGCATTACTTATATCCTGCCAATAGGTATTAAATGTTGCATCATCCACAGATGCCTGGCTGGCATTTCCATAGACATGGTTCCTATAATACTTAACCCTAGCTATGTTGGCTTCAGCACTCGTATCTGCAGCAGGTGCGAGATTATCCCAACCCGTTGCTGGAGGAATCAAGCCACATATATTCCTTAGGAGCAACATGAGTAGTGTGATATCAAAATCTTTCGAACATACGGATAAAGGTGAAGCGGGATACAGCTTGGCCCATTGAGTGGGATTGAGAACTCTCTTCCTTCTAAGTGAATGCAGTATTGGGTGTGCAGGTGGCTTTGTAAGAACTCCATGTAGGCCTGCCGGTGGGTGAATACTATCAAAGACGTTTCTTAATGCGTGGGATCCTACATCCACAATAAGACGACACAGACGAGCAAAATTTGTTGTCTCCTTGGTGGATGCATATGAAGTTGTGCTGGAGGCCATGTTGATTATTTTGTTAGCTGTAAATAAACAAAAAATATTCATTTGGCAACCACGATGTAGCCCAGCGGGTACTCCTGGGAATTCTTGGTGGGGTGTGCCACCCAGTTCCCCATATTCTGACCCTATTTCAGACCACAAAATGTCATTTACCACACCTGTTTTCACAACTGGCCTTCTAACATCCATACGCGTTTCCAGACCTGGGGTAGGTCACAAAATGCAACATACATGTTCACGAACGTATAAATTACATAATCATTACTTAGATTAGAAGGCCAGCAAAAAGATTTCTTAAAATCCATTTGAAATTTGCATATTACTCTTTCTTTCTAATTCACTTGGAATTAAAACAACAAATACGTTTATCACTCCTGTAGTTTCCTCAAAACCATTGTTTCCAGACCAAAATGGGAAAAGTCTATACCTGTTTTCAGACTAAAACACCACAAAAACCAGACCCTTTAGGGCCGCACATACCTGTTTCTGTTTATATAAGGGAGTTCCCCCTGGAATAGTCAAGTGACAAATTGCCTCACCATAATAACTAGCATTAAATCAACATTATACAATTTTCTGAGTTAAAGCAGGGCTGGGATAAATGTTAAAAAAAGATAAGTAGCTGCATTGCTGTAACTGTTTTTTAGAAAGTTTACTTCAGTCAAACTGGATTGAATTTAAACAAGACCCCCATGGGGGTGGGGGGGGGGCTCATTAGGCTGCTGACTGCACGATGTAGTGTTTTAATATTTTGGGAAGTTATTAGTTATTTTATTAGATTATAATTACACATTCTTTCCAGATTGAGTGTATAGCTGCTCGTAATTGGTGGAATGGAATAGATATATATCACGCGATCATATTGTTGATGTAGATCCTAACGCTTCAGTGTAAAAATGGAGTTTAACTGACGAGTGGGTCACCTTTTCGGTGGCCTTCTAAACAGATTTGTATTAAACACCCATGCACTCAGGATTTGAGTAGTTCACGTATTGGTTTATACATATAGTCTTTAGAAAAAAGATACCATTGGCATTATTCTTAACAGGGACATTTCCACAACCCACCACTCCCCTTCTCCCCCCCCCCCCCCCCCCGCCAAAATATATATATATATTCATTTACCGAAACCGGTGAAAGAAAGAAAGAAAGAAAGAAAGAAATATATATATATCTATAACACAAATGAACCGAAACCGGTGAAAGAAATAAATAAATGAACACAAGTGAAACTCTAAAAATTGCCTTGAACGGGATTTGAACCCGCGTCCTCGACTTTCTAGTGCCGATGTATTATAAATATATTTCTCAAACTCATTAATCATTCATTAAGAACATACAAAGGAAATTAATGTTTAATGAGTGTTTGGAAATCGGATGAAACACTGCTTAGTATTTACATCTTTAATTTCTCCTTCAAAAATGATTTTGTTTGAGAAGAAATATCAAACATTCGACACAGTGTTTCATCACCAGATGAAACACCTCGAAGTTCCTCAAAAATACTCCGCTGCGCGTCGTATTTTCAACTCTCTTCTCGGTGTTTCATCTGGTGATGAAACACTGCATCTCATCTTTGATATATTACATATATATCTGTGTGGATTTCATACAAGGTACCTGTACTGAGTCTCTAGACAGCCGAGTTCAAGCAGCAACTACTCACCCTCCCCACCCATGAAGCTTATGACTAGTCAATCACTTCCCCCAAGCTCCGCTAGTACTGTAATGATTATGAGTCACCGAATTGATTTGGCTGGCCTAGCCCAGAGGAAAAATTCCCTGACTTTGCATTGCTTTCTGACATGAAACTCTAATCAAAGTGACAAAATCTCCCCTCCCTAAACCCCTGGTTTTCACACAAGACAAGTCAGCCACCCACCCACGGATAGGTCTGGGCCTGGGCTCTCAGCTGACACCTAGCAAGACAGCAAGCCCCCTGGTTTTTTTCCGGCTACACTGGCTACACTGGCTTTTCAAACGAAAACTTAGCAGGCATCTTAGATATCTCTAGCCCAATCACAATCTCTTAGGTTCTGACAACATTTGCTAGCATTCGCATTCCCAGGCAATTAAATTCCCCACTGGGCTCAGATAAGCACTTGATATCTGTCTGGATTTCATACAAGGTGCCTGTACTGAGTCTCTAGACGGCCAAGTCCAAGGAGCCATTACTCACCCTCCCCATCCATGAACCTTATGACTAGTCAATCACTTCCCCCAAGCTCTGCTAGTAGTGTTATGATTATGAATCACCGTTTTGATTTGAATGGCCTAGGCCACAGGAAAAATTCTATGACTTTGCACTGCTTTCTGACATAAAACTCTAACCAAAGTGACAAAATCTCCCCTCCCTACCCCCCTTGTTTTCACACAAAACCAGGAAGCCACCCACCCACGGATAGGTCTGGGCCTGGGCTTTCAGCTGACACCTAGAAAGACGGCAAGCCTCCTGGTTTTTTCCGGGCTACACTGGCTTGAACACGGGCGATGCCCGCGTTCAAGCGAAAACTTAGCAGGTACCTTTTAGCAAAATCACACAGATATATATAATATATATTTAACAAATAGATTCCATGTTGCCGTGCGTCTGTTCAGTAATAGATCACAGATGACGTCAAAATGTCGTAAAAACAAAGAAGTGGCACACGAGCCGCAGGCGAGTGTGTCACTGTTGTTTTTACCACATTTTGACGTCCTCTGTGATCTATTACTGAACAGACCCACGGCAACATGGAATCTATTTGTTTTATACAATGATCAGAAAAGAAAAAGACCGATACACATACCTGCCTCGAACCGCTTGACCTTTTGAGGATTTGTGCTAGTTTAGACATTTTTTAAGTCCCAAACCCAACTTTTCATCTTAGCTTCTTCTTTATCTTACTTGTGTACAGTTTCTTTGAAAAGTTTTTCACCGTCTTTTCTTGCAAAAAGAAGAATAATAGCGAAAACATTTTGCAAAACAGCGAGTCTCTCGTAGCGAAGACACACGATGGCAACTGTTGTGAAGATTTCTTGTAGTTTAGGCATTGTCAAGTGGTCAATAGCGTTTTTGGTCTCCGTTTCTCCATTTTTCTTCTTTGTAAATAGCTCCTGCCAAACTTTTTCCGAAGCTTTCACTTGCCTCAATCCGAAATAATCTCACAAACATTTTCAAAACCGCGTGCCATGTTGAACAAAACAAAGAAAACAAGTTTCCCGCGACGTCATCCATGTATCTGTACTCTAATAGATCATGGGCAACGACCAATCACAGCGCGCGTAGCATTCACATCATTGTATAAATGTATTTATTAAAAACTGAATCATTGGATAATGCAATTCTGGCATTTTGATTGGCTTAGCCGTTATGGTATATGAGCTATTATACCATGCTCTCCATATATGGTCGGTGTACGCGACAGTTTAAAGTCGGAAGCTAGCTGAGATTTTTTTTCGCGAAGGACAGAACGGCGCCCGAAGCAAATTGTTTTAATTCATTTCTTAGAATACTAGACATGCAATTTCATCGAAAGAAAAAAGGCAGAAACGAACAAAACAGCCACAAGAGCTTGTTTGAAATTTTGCCGAAAAACACATGAGAACACATGGAACTAAAGTACCTTGACCAGCTACGAAAGAAGACAAGTGTTGTTTCTTCATGATCGCGAAGCCATTCGCCGATCGAGTCACTCGCCGATAGATAACTGCGTCTTGTTTATCCGACTTCAAGAATATAAATCACAAGTAACCAGCTACAAATACAGGCTATGCAGCCATTCACTGGAGCAATCGAGGCGGCAGTATAGCTTCTTTTCTCGTTCAGCAAAACCAGCTTGTGGCTTCAAACAACTTCATAACAAGCGACCGAGGTAATAGTTTTTCTCCGTTGTTCTTACTTTTATAACTGCCCCGAAAATCCAAATTCACAGTAATTTCGACAGCTGTCACTTGAAAATTCTTTTCCTTCACATTATCTTCCAGGTTTTTTTAGCTGTTCGGCTGTGTAAAATCCTAGAATCCCGATGAGGTTTTAAAAAACTAATGTTCATCGGTACAATGTTTTGATTTTTCATTCATGCAGTCCAGGCGAGTCCGTTCGCGCGTTGACAGTTTTGATAGACGTGTGACATGTGAATAGCGGAAGTCCCTTGTCTTTTCCGGTTTGTTCTAGTCGGGGAGATTCAAGGAGATTTTGTGGGCGTTTTTAATAAAACAATTATTCCACTCGCGCTTGTAACGCGCCCTCGTGGAATAATTGTTAAATATAGCATGACAATATAACATTGATCTCACCAGAAATTCCAAAATTGTTGTCGTTCTATACTATAAATAACCGTAATTTTCTGTTCCTTAAAACCGGCAAAGTAAATTAAGTTCAGTTCTATTTCTGTCGGATACTGCATTTCAAGCCCTACTGACTATCCAAGTAAATATGTTTCTATTGGACGAGGCAATCTACAAATAACATATTCGGGAAAGACTTTTCACACGCAGGCAGAGAATTCCAACAAGTTTAAGCTTTTCTCGAGGGGACCGTGGGCGGGCATTGTATTTGCAACTCCAGCACAGGCTAATAACATCATCGAATACTGTATTTAGATAATCATTTGGCGTGGATATAGGGCCAATAACTCCACGCAATAATTTTGTGTTCGTTCCAAATCTGTTCGCCAGACGACCTGCATGACCCGTCCCCTTCCTGCAACAATCGCCTTCATTACAGGGGGAGTGGGACACGCAACGCCTTCTGGGCGAGCCGTCCGCCATTTTGTCCTTTTTCAATGGAGAAATGTCATTCCGTAATTGGGCGCCATAGGAAGCCCAATAAAAATGTCAATGGATAATAACAAACAATCGAAAGGTATTCACTGCTAGGGGAATGGCGCGCCCTTTTTTTATTCAGAAGCAGCATCACCGCCACCACTACGCTGTAACAGCAGCACGTATGCCGTAATGAGAGGGAAAAAAATGTGGCTTTCAATGCTTCAGTTCTTATTGTTTGAGCTTGATTAAAACTACAGGAAAGTCGAAAGAGAATCTTTGAGATTTTTTCTTAGATTTGAAGGAAATGGAAAGTAAAACTTAGGCTAACTTATGAATCAACAGTTTCAGTTTAAGGGGGGCCAAGGGACACTGTCTATTTTGTTTGTTTTACTGCTTAGTGGAATGAAAGTGGTGGTTGATTTGTTTTTCTTCTTTTAAAATTCAAACGTCTCATCTCCCATATCGGCAGATCAAAATGTACTTCAAAGTTTCTCTTGAATTCGCATGCCCATGGAAAGTCGAGAAGTGTCAATTTTCCAGTTTAAAGCATTCTGAAATTGACTGAGTAATGTGGCATATTACCTATTGGCAAAGAACGCGGAGATGTCACAATTCCTTTTTCTTCTTGTGTTTAAGTGATCAGGCCATTCACTAGGACGACTACGGAAGGGTTTAGTACGGTGACCGGCAGTATTTTTTTCCGCCACGCGTCATTGCCTCATTAGGGAACTTAAGATAGAGACGTTTTCGGGGCGACGGCAACTTCAACCGGACGTGACATCATCATTTGTTGGATATTGCGCATGCTCGTGCTCACCACCTTGCCGTCGTGGTCCCGTCGGCGACGTCAAACTGGTCTGTTTGGCGTTGTGGCGAAAACGTGAGTATTTAACTTTCATTTCAATCAGGTTTGTTGCGTTTAGCAACCAACATTTTGCAGATTATCGTTCTTAAATTGTCCTTGTTTTCTTTGAGGCACATTTCAAGCTCGATTTCCAAGCACTGTTATCTAAACTTACTTCTTTGAATGTTTCTATGTTTTCATGTCACAGGGTCAAGATCCAACTTGGCAAACAGCCAACCGTGAGCTTGACATGGACAAAATTTTCCTACGAGCCAAATAAAAGTATCCAGACAAAAAATATGAACTCCGATATTTCAATTGTGTGTTTTTAGTTCGCTCTTTTCGTTAGAATATCGTATAAATGAAACGCATTGAAAATTATATAGAATAGTAGGTAATACCATGTACTAACTCGGCGTGGGAATACTGAAATAAAGTTGTTGCCGTTGTTGTTGTTGTTGCATGCAAGTATTTCCCGGGAATTATTTCAATACCAAACTAAGAATACGGTTCCTTGGTAGCATTTTAATGTTCCTGTAATTTGCAAGGCTTCGGCAAGCCTGTGGAGATCATTTTTTTTTCAACACGAAATTCTGCCTTGAACTCAGCTGCATCCCGCATGTTTTTTAGCGTGAACGGATCGTAACTGTCCCGAGGAAAATCGGGATTTTTGGACTCATAATTTTCCCACAAAACGAGAAACTCTTCATCCGATACATGTTGTCTGCATAGCAAATATTTATTCTCTTAATTCTTTATGTGAAGCCATATTTTCCTCTTCGGTATTCTTCTAATTAAAGGCGCCGTCCTTCTGAGTTCACTGCGATCTTAATGTTCTATTTTTGACGGGAAGCGACGGCTGCCTTGGTTCCAGGCTTTCTCTGCCAGTCCGGTCGCCGTCGCCCCGAAAACGTCTCCATCTTAAGTTCCCTATTCAAGGTACCACACGACGGCGACAGCGGTCAAAACGTCGCTTTTTAATAAAAAGTCAATTCGCATTCTTTCAAACTTCTTCGTGATTACAAGTCGTTTATTTTGTCAAATGTAGGCAAAATCATAGAGGAAAACAGTTGGTCTTGGTTTGTTTACGTCCTCAATAAAACGTGAAATTAGGGATTTTCACGTCGTGGTCGTGCAGTGATGACAAAGAAATGTTGATAAAACGATAAGATTCAGGTGCAAAGTTGTTGATTTGCTAATTAAACTGATTGACTGGCCGTACTACGCTCCCGAAAACGTAGAGGATCACGGCTGGCCGTAGTGTCTAGTACGTTAAGTATTTGGTTGTATTTTACGTGCTTAAAACGCCGGTGTTTATTTGAAACAGAATCGCTAAATACACGCATTTTATCCTTTTTTGGTCATCTTTGGAAATTTCTGAAGGCTTATTTTTCGATTATGAGCCCCAAATTTAGGTGTCAAGCACGGCTCCCAAGTGAAAAATACTGCAAAATACAGTTGACGGGAAAGAGGATATTTCACAAGGGAGATCATCTCACCAGGTGGTGTGAATAAGACTGATGAAATACAAGCAAGCCCTGAATTTGCACATGCATCGCCCTTTTTTTATAAATGTTTTTTTTAACATTTCCTTGCCGTGGGGGGGTCAATGCACGGCTTCAACCTCAAGGAGGGGGAAGGGGTACCTAATAGGGACGAGGGAGAACTCGGGGCGAAAATGTAGGGAGGAGGGAGAAAATGAAATGTTAGGAGTAGGGAGGTAACTATGAGAAGGTAATTTTACGGCTTTTTTTAACTTGCGTCACGACAAGGGATGGGGAACAGGGAAAATCAAGTACACTGCAATCCCCTCGGGTCCGCTAGGACTCCCTTGGTCGGACTTAACCGAGGAGGCATGGAATCAAACTTTGACGCATCTCAAGTTACCAGGTTTAAAACTTGGCAACGACAGTCGCGACACGTGACCTCTGCACTTAGTCGTAAAGGAAGATATCTGCCCTTCATAGCTTCGCTCTAACTAATAGGTCCTTAAGGGGTTTTCCCTTACGACATGATATGAGATTTCTCTTAGCCGTTGTTGGTTTTGTATAGGGTGCCATCTTCCCATGGTCTTTTCTTCAGTGTAAGTAAAGCCGGGTGGTATTGTGTAACAAAAGGTAGTAGTTTGTTACGTACAGATTGGTTGCTCTGTTAAAGGGCTGTTTTCCTGTCGGTGAATTTTAACTCAGAGGGGTACTTTCTCACAATAGGGACAGGGTAGCTTCTTTCTATCAGGAGATTTTCGAAATCTTTGATAGTTTTCCTCAAAAGTGGTTTGAGAGGAATCAGTCCTTAGACGCCTGAGCGCTTCTCCTTTAATGAAGCATTTCTTCACGCCTGAAGGTTGAGAAGAGTATGTGAAACGCTTCCGTTTGGCTCATGGGCTCCTGGTTGGTTTATAATCTGTTCGCCCGTCTCGGGTTGGTTCCTTATTGAATCTAACCCATTTGTACACTTTTGTGTCCAAGAAAGTGATCGCTGTTTCGGACATCTCAGCCGTGAATTTGATAGCAGAGTGAAAGTTATTTGCCTTTTCCACGATTTTAGCTCTCTATTTTGTCTAGACTTGTGTTCAATAGAGAAAACACATCGTCAATATATCTTTTCTAAAACAGCTGTTCAATTATACCCTGGGCGCCCAGAGACTTTTTATGCGTAGTTTCAGGTTTGGTAAAGTCTTTATAGTGACCGAAGTGAAAAGATTTTTTTTCTTGCGTTTTTTCCGCGCGGCTTCGCCTCTAGTGACTTCTGCCTTCGGCCAAAGATCTGTCGGCCTGCAGCCGACACCGAAGCATTTCACCGCACGCGAGAAAAATCCTCTGGTGCCAAGGGTACGGTTCAATACAACTGTCTCAATATCTGGTTTTCTATTCTGGCCATGAAGATGTTAGCAAAAGGAACGGCCCCATGGGTCTATAGGTAGTTGCTACCGCAAAATTGGAACAAGTTTTCTGTTAATATAAGATGGAGTATTTCTCTTAGATACTTAGTAGGTAACCGGGGGGAGTATTCCCGGGAATTTTGGGTGGGCGTGTGCCGCCCGGTTATCCAAATCCTGACCGTATTTCACACCTGTTTTCAGACCCGGCCTCTTAAATCCATACCCGTTTTCCGACCTGGTATAGGTAGAATTTAGACTAGAGCTCAAAGAAGATTTCTTAAAATCCATTTCGCATTCACTTATTAATCTTTCTTTCTCATCTTTCATTTGGAATTGAAACGACAACTACGTTTATACACATCCTGTAGTTTCCTCGAAAACCATACCCAATTCCAGACCAAAATGGGCAAAATCATACCCGCTTTCATACTCTTTAGGGCGTCACATACCCATATGGCTTAAATAGGGGAGTATCCCCCGGGGGTAGGTATGCGGGCTTTCCCTCCATAAAAATCTTTGTATGCATACATTCGAAGGTAAGGCCCTCTTCGTGCAGTATGTTAGTGTGGAGGCGAAGCTCTGAAGGTCATTATACTTGCTTTACGTCTACCGACTCCAGGAGTCGTGTGTTGTCCGCCACCAACTTTAAAACCACGTTTAGGGAGGAGGGAGAAATTGGCTGAAATAAAGTAGGGAGGAGGGAAATTTATCCTCCTGTACCTCCCCCCTTCTCAGGAGAGTTCGCCAACATTTGACAAAGTAAACGAGTTGGATTCATGGCGATAAAGAATAAAAGAACGCGAATATACTTTCAAGCGCGAATAAGCGCGAATGCACTTTTCACCGCCATAGCCGTCGTGGTATCTTAAACTCCACGAGTTGAGGCATTGACTGGTGGCGAAAAAAAATACTTCCGGTCACGCTACTAGAACTTTCCGAAGTCTTGGCTTAAAGTCCCTATTATCTTTTAGCGCTAGTTGTATAGCTTTTGCTAATCTGCCTTTTTGTTGGCTTTTTCTTTGTTTGTCTTCCTTTCACTTGCCTTCTTCTTCTATCTAGGGATGATTGCAGTTTATCATTGAATCTACGCTGCCACATAGCCCCTGTATGATGCAATTTCCTAGTGAGGCACAGCTAGCCTTACTCTCTTACGATTTTCTTTGATTTTAACTATACACCAGAAATACTAAAATGTGTGAACCTTTGGTTACCTTTTGTTTTTGTTTTCTATTCTAAACCTTAATCTCTGCACCACTTCATCAGATTGGCTAGGGGTGCGATTGTATTATCATTGTAGGATTAGTTTCGGAATGTTTCTACTAAGTTTCTCCGGGATAAGCCAACTACAATCATGGCCAAAAATGTCAGACAAAGTCCCAACAAGGCTTAAAAAGGTACTAGCATTCCCCATTGAGTTTCCATTTTGTTCAAGGTAACACTCATTTCAGAATGATTTTTCCCAAAAAACCGTTGGATTGGGAGTCTTGTCGTGAGGCCGTGAGAGTTGGTAGTTGGCAGGTCTAATTTATGCATAACAGTGTTACAAGCTTACTGTTATTTCTTCAATCCACAATAATTGACCACTCCAGAAATACCATAACATACCATAATGTTCTTTGTTTGTCACTCCAAAATTTTTCATAAGCATTGCCTTCAGTTTCCCTTGGGAGTTAAAATGGCCCCAAGAGAAACTGAAAACAATGCTTATACAAAATTTGGGGTGACAAACAAAGAGCATTATGGTACGTTATGGTATTTTCTGGAGTGGTCAATTATTGACTTTTCAAGTTACCTTCAATCTCATCAAGTCTACTTTTGCTGCTATGATCATCTTTCTTACACTCCCTCAGTAATTCTTGGTAGTGTTTCTCAATGACAGGATCCATACTCTGCGTTTTCAGTGTATTGATAGCGGCAGCATCTGCACCCAGTCCTACCAATGCATTACTTATATCCTGCCATAAGGTATTAAATGTTGCATCATCCACAGATGCCTGGCTGGCATTTCCATAGACACAGTTCCTATAATACTTAACCCTAACTATGTTGGCTTCAGCACTCGTATCTGCAGCAGGTGGGAGACTATCCCAACCAGTGGCTGGAGGAATCAAGCCACATATATTCCTTAAGAGCAACATGAGTAGTCTCACATCAAAATCTTTCGAAGATACGGATGAAGGTGAAGCGGGATACAGCTTGGCCCATTGAGTGGGATTGAGAACTCTCTTCCCTCTAAGTGACTGCAGTATTGGGTGTGCTGGTGGCTTTGTAAGAACTTCATGTAGGCCTTCCGGTGGGTGAATACTATCAAACTTGTTTCTTAATGCGTGGGATCCTACATCCACAAGAAGGCGACACAGACGAGCAAAATTTGTTGTCTCCTTGGTGGATGCATATGAAGTTGTGCTGGAGGCCATGTTGATTATTTTGTTAGCTGTAATAAACAAATAAAAAAATATTCATTTGGCAACCACGATGTAGCCCAGCGGGTACTCCTGGGAATTCTTGGTGGGGTGTGCCACCCAGTTCCCCAAATTCTGACCCTATTTCAGACCACAAAATGTCGTTTACCACACCTGTTTTCACAACTGGCCTCTAAAATCCATACCCATTTCCAGACCTGGAGTAGGTCACAAAATGCAACATACATGTTCACGAACGTATAAATTACATAATCATTACTCAGATTAGAAGGCCAACGAAAAGATTTCTTAAAATCCATTTGAAATTTGCACATTACTCTTTCTTTCTAATTCATTTGGAATTAAAACAACAAATACGTTTATCACTGCTGGGAAAAGTCTATACCAGTCTATACCAGACTGAAGTACCACAAAAAACAGACCCTTTAGGGCCGCACACACCTATCTGTTTTACATAAGAGGGTCCCCCATGGGATAGTCAAGTGACAAGTTAAAGCAGGGCTGTGATGGATGTCTCAAAAAAAGATAAGTAACTGCATCGCTGTTTTTTACAAAGATTACTTCAGTAAAACTGGATTGAATCTAAATGATACCCCAGGAAGCAGTTTGTTATAAAGGAAGAGGGCATCTGTAGCTTCTTTGTTGTGCTCGATCACACAATCAATTCACTCGTCAAAAAGCATGCTACAATCTTTTGACACAGTACTTCACACACTTGTCTGAAAAGTACATTTTTATCAGCACATTTTCATCCGTTTATCATACAATTCTGTTTCAACACCATTATTCCCCCACCCTCAAATCAATGTTGTTTGTAGTTGAAGAAAGACTTGAGGGTTTAAAGTACAACCAGGAGTCGGCTCCCGATACAAAATAATTATATTTCGAGAGATGGGGTGGGGGTACACAGGGAAAAGGATATGCCTACTTTATGCAAAAACGGGGCCATTCAATTGCCCCTTATTGCAGATATCTCAAAAACTGAAACACATATCTTTTCAAGTAATCTCCATTTATCATTTTGAAATGAGTGACCCAAGAGTTCGGCCCAGGGTTCGGCCGTTTGATAATAATAGTTAGCCCACATCACATGGCGGGAAGATAGGATTCCTTCTTTACATACTTTTTCGAATAATGTGAGTCACTAGGTTCGCAGCCGAGCTAGTTTCTGATGTAAATAAGAAATACAAGGAAACTACATTAACTAATGTTCACATATTGAATAAGCAGAGCTTTAAAGAGCGTTCCGTAATGATCTTAATTCGTCACTTAGTCTTGCGCTGTCTTCACCATGACATTCTCTTTCGCTCTAAACATATACCGGGTAAAATTTCAACTTACGCCGCGCTAAAATGAATTTCCTTCATCAGCCTATAAATTTCGACTTCAAAAGCCGTCGTTAATGTGTGGAATAACTTTCCTAAAAACGTTGTCCTCACAGGATCATTGACTTTATTTCGCAACAGTATGAGGATTTATATGAAGATTAATTAATATTATTATTCATTCAAAATATTTCCCCGATTCTGATTGGCTAAGAGCACACGCATAATTCACCATAACCAGCCACTAATGACCAAATTTGGTAGAATTATGCGTGTAATGAACCGATGACGTCAAAAGTGCAGCCTTCTTGCTGGTTAATGCACCGTTACCCGAGAAGACCTGGGGACGAGGTTGAGTTGTTTTGGTCGCGAAAACAAAAAATGGCGGACATTTCACTCGTTTTAAGAGTAAGAACTAGGCGAAATTATAGCGAAAAACATGGCAAGAAGAGCAACAACACAACTCGAAGGGCGACATCAGCTATTTGGAAATTATTTGCGGAGCTGAACCACCCAAAACGTGCACTATCAAAGATGAACTTAACATCGATGGAGGTAAGGATGTATTAGCTTTGTTTTTAAACTAGGAATTATTTTGAATGAATAATAAAACAATTATTGAATTAGGCTTTCGTATCATATGGACGGGCGTTATCCGCGTCGGATAACACCGTCCTCGATCTCCATAATAGGCCATATGCAAGAATGTTCTCTTACATACAAGATGATTTAAATACTGATGGGTACGATCGACGATGATAAGTCACTTGTTGTAAATTGCTGTTACACGAGTTACCCTGGATAAAATAGGACAATTTTATGCACTCACCATCCGCCGCCGCTGATATTTCACCTTCCCTCTTACTCATGGCCATCCACGCTCTTAAAAAACAAAAATATCTTCCCTCAATCTTCTACAGAGGTTTCCTATTCATCTATGATAACGAAAAGCCAGATCTAGTTATATCATGCAAATAAACTTAAAGCACCGGCCTTATAAGGTGTATGAGCAGTTATGCAAACAGAATTCGAGTAAACGGAAAGGTTACCACGTGTCAGCTCCCCGGAGGGGCCTCAACAGAGTTTTATGCCGGGAGGCTCCGCCCCGAGGTCCAACCCCTTACCCTTTCATTTACCATTTTTGATTGAAAGGGTACTCCTTTTGAATACCTTTTATTGACAAACGGTACCCCTTTCACTTACAAAGTTCAGTTTTAAATTTCTTTAACCTAAGTTGATTATCAATTTACTTTGTCCCCTAGGATTAGGAGACAAAGGAAATTGAGAATCAATCTAGGTTAAATCAAAATTAACCTAAAATTAAATTTGACTCGTAACATATCCGCTGAAAAGTAATTTATCCAATAGATAGCGCTATCCAACTTTTAATGAACAACTGGGGCCTGGAGAGAACCATCACTTCGCTAAGTATCTGAGGCAAACCTAACATGGGGCGTAGCACAACACCTTGGGGTGTCCAGCAAATTTAAAATCGATTTTTGTATATTATCATAAAATAGCGCTCAATTGATCGTACAAGTGCATTAGCCTTAGCCATCCTTAAAGGCCGTCCAGGAATGGTAGTGAATTGCGGTTTAATGTTTGTCTATTTTCCCTATTGACTTTCAAGATCCGGTGTTAACAGGGTTGCCACTCATCAGAAAGTTAAAATTCCTTGACTTTTCCCTGACTTTTCACTGACCTTTAAACAGTTTTCACTGACCTTTCATTAATGAGAAACAATCAATGTTTACATTCGCTTTAGCTTTTTTTGCAGGCCATCAATATTTTCTCTTCATTTTCAACCTCCTTCCGGAAGAAGGATTTGGAAGAAAGCATCCACAACGAAAACCACTGACCACAACTACTACATGTGTCAGGCGTAGAGTGTCATATTGATCGCTTTGCTTGCTTTACAGCATACTTTTCATCTTTTCCAAAAGAAAATGCATTTCAAAGTCTTGCAGAAAACTTAAGAACTTTAACTGACTTTGACAATGTCAAAGTTTTTAAAAAATTCCCTGACTTTTCCCTGACCTTGAAAAATTTTCGTTTTTCCTGTTAAGTGTTTGTAGGGTTTTAAGCTAAAACTATTCAAATTGCAGCGTAGTTCCAACGGAAAAACGGAGAATAACAGCATCGTTACGCAACAGCAGTGGGAAATGGAAATACCTTGGAAAACTTCGCTAGTCCTCGGATATCTTTGGAAATCTTCGGAAATCTTCCGAAATGATCGGGAATTGTCGGAAAGTGGCCGAAAACTTCTTGATATACTGAACAAAATAACATTGCCCTTTTTGGTGCTGTTTTTGTTTCCGTCTGGATAAAATTAATTGTAAAAGAGAATTTTTCACTGTTAGTGTTAAAATGCCCAAAATTTAACTGTTTTTTGTTACAGAGCCAAAAACTAAGTGTTTAGTGTTATCGAGGTACCCAAATTCAGACCCTCTTACAGGGATTCCCTCTGGCCTATGTAACTGTGGCTCAGTAAACTTGATCATGTCCTTGGTAGACCGTAGTACGTACCCATTTACAATTTCTTCTGACAATTTGTGTCAATTTGGTTTGATGGCGCCCACGAGCACGTGAATGATGGACCCCCTACAGTCAACCCACAATCCACTGCACACCACCAAAAGTTAAGAGGAAGCTAGGCGGAAATTTAAAGAACATTTTGCATTTTGAGGTGTAGCAAACACATCCTTGCGGCATCAAAGTTTCCTAGATTGTGGGTTTTTAACCACCGGTCAATTAATTAGTTAAATTTTTAAATATTTCTTGAATTTTCAATGAAAAAGGCTCAAAATATAGGAAAATACAGGAATTTGTTCAATTTATAGGACTTTATAGGGAGGGTCTGAAAAAATAGGATTTTCTAGGAATATAGGACTCGCTTGACACCCCGTTGGCCGTTGTTCTCAAACAGAAGAATAATCAATAAACAATTTCATTACCTTATTTGATCCAGTGCCCTGTAGACATCACTTCCATTTATGATAGTCACTTCCAATTCTCCTTTGTATCCAACTTTTTCAAATTCTTCTTCCAAACGTCGCTTAACTTTACCTGATTCAAAGTCATCCATCAAAGAGACGAAACTTTGCCTCGTATAACAATGCAATTCGACAACAACTGATTCGCTTGGCCGCACACCAGCCACTTGACGTCCTGATACTTCTAATGCTTCTTTAATAGCCATGCATCCTTGTTCCACGCTTTTCTTACTAAAATCTTTCCAACCAGAATCAGTGAAACCATTTCCGCTACATCGTAATTCGACAACAGTCTTGCCCGGTTCTTCTTGACGACATTCAACGATAAGATTTAAAGAGCGATTATCCTCTTTTGAAATTGGCTCTTCGCTCCATTTCCCTGGTGCCTCTGCCATTGACTCTGTATTTTAAATAAAACAAACACTATTGGCTTGGTCAAGAAGCTGACTAAAACTTAATTCCGCAACCACAAATAACTGCCTAAAGTGACTCGTATTTTGGTCTTCCCTTACATATTCATTTTTGAGATATTTATTGATTGTATCTAAACATCGTTCCGAGCGTAGAGAGTTTTTAATCTCGTCGCGCGCGCAGCCTACTAACCGCGCGTGGTCTTAGCCAGTAGGAAAATTCGATGCCCCATAAATAAACTAGTAATAAGAAAAGGTTACAGAGTGCGGGCGACAACGATCTAAGTTCAAACGCTTTTGCTCCAACGCAGTGAGTGCTTTGCGTATGTTTCTCGTGACAAATGGTCAAAACACGCGTGATCAGATTACGAGGGTTAGAAGGTGGAAACGCGCGTTCTCCCCTGTGCATTCCATTCATTCTTTTAATAAATCTTTCTATGATGCTTATGAATATCTAGATTTAACCACTGCTAACATAGCCTGTACACAGACGTTTTATTTTTCTTTTCGTTCTTTTCCAAAAATCGGCGAGCGCGGAGCGCGAGAAAGAAAAATAAAGAACGTCTGTAGACATTTTTTGGGGAAAAAGAGAATTATTAAGTCCCTCCCCCATGTCAACGCCTCATCATTATCACCTTCACGTTCGCAGCACCAATTAAATTGAACCAACGATTGCTCGTGTATTTTACAACATTTTAATACGCAAAAGATCAAATAACGATGACACTCGGAGTCGAGCGTTTTTTGAGGCATGTCTTGTCAGACTGCTTCAACGCCGAAAAAGCTGGCTAAAAGAGGTCCGAAGCCGGAACAAATCGGCCAATCGAATTATTGTAGGATATTTGGCTGCCGTTTATACTAGCAATCATCCCGTTCCCGTAAAGCTACCGGGAACTACAGAGAATTGTTTTTTTTTTTTCATTGAGAGTGTTCGTCAAAATGTTACAAAACGAAAGTTGGCGGACGATTTAAGGGATCTTGATTTTACCGTTTCGCAAACAGAAGATTAGTCAAGTAGGGTTTGTTCCCCTTGCAGTAATAAGGTTAGAAGCACCTGGCCTGAATTTTCATGTGGCTAAATGTAATTTAGGCAAAGTTAACCTCGAAGCAATGCTGGTCAGCAGTTTCTCCAGCTATAGTTGGGGTGGCCCGATGCCTCTAGCAGGGGCACCTCGTGACTTATATACGCAGTTGCTTGCTTGCAGTTCTTCGCAAAGTGTTGTTGCAATTGCTTGCTGTTTGCGTGCCAGTTTGTGCTTTGGTTTTGCTTGCTTGCTGTTTTTTGCTTGTACAATGACTACTCGTCGAACCAACAATAGTTTGGCTGCTCGTTTGGATGGGGAGAATTCGTCATCGGATACCCTTTTGCAGGCCGAGTCGTCTGGTCCTTCGTCGCTCGCTTCTGCGGCAAATTCGGCGCCACAAACATCTTCCACAGTTTCCGCTCCAGTTGCTACTGCTGGTGTCCACGATCCCGCTCTTATCGCTGCAATCGTCGATGCCGTGAAGGCCTCCTTAGCGGCAGAAAAAGGTCCAGGTTCTAGCTCGAGCAATCTGCTTGGAAATTCTGATAGCGTGGAGTCACAAGCAGCTTTTGGGGGCGTTCCCGCCCCATCGCCCAGCTTGTCGCAGCAAACGGCGACCTTGCTAGCTTCTGGAGGCGCCTTTCCGCAGCCACAGGCGATATCTTCACCTTCAGCGACGCAAGGTAGGCCTAATTTTATGGTGCCATCCTTTGTTGCCACTTTTGCAACCCCGCGCTCGCCGATTTTAAGCACGTCGATCACGGCGGGCGCTTCTGTTCCGGTTCCACTCAGCGACAGCACCTTGGCTGCAAACCTGCCATCGGGACCGCTACTCCAACAGCCGTATGTAGTTGGCCTTGGTTTTTCACCAATTCCGGCAAAAACGGTTAGCCAAATTGTTGCCGGCAAGTACGTGGATTTGGGGGATTTGCTGTCAGTCAACATTGTTCAGACTGAGCCGGAATCGCAAGCATTCCTGGACGGGCGGTTAGTTTTTATGCCAAGCGCTAAAAAGCAACGCCGACGCATCGAGGACATCGTGACCTGGTCCGAAGCCTTTACAATTTTTACGCTGATTCTGACGTCGTATTTTCCGCACCGCTGGAAAGATTTATCTTCTTACAAGCTTCTCATCCTGCGCACGTACCGCCAGTTCAGTGGTCGTGTTTGGCTGGCATACGATCAGCCCTTCCGCCAGCACGCTGCGGCAACGAAGCTCGTGGACTGGTCGGCCATGAACGTTCAGCTTTACAATTTTCACGCTGCTGGGGCCTCTGTGCGTTCTAAGTCTGGTGGTTCCTTGAGCGAGCTACCCGAACCATCTGGAGCTGACTCCTCCCAGGTCATTTGCCGGTCGTGGAACAGGGGCCGCTGTTCGGCAGAATTTGCTTCGTGTCGGTTTGCCCATCGCTGCAGCACCTGTGCAGGTTCCCACCGTGCGTCAGAATGCTCCCGTCGTTTTGACAAAACGTCGTCACACGATCGCAAACGCAGATCGGCTTCTCCTCCCTCCGTGCCCTTGTCTACTTCGAAAACCAGGCGTTAATTTATGCACCTTGTTTGTTTTCCTGACTGTTTTTCTGCCTTGTTTTTTTTATCTGCGTTTTTTGTCTTTAGTTTTTTCTCCGTGTTTCCTGACCTTTAGTCATCGAATCACTTTTTAAGTTGCGTTACCTAATTTTTGTCAACAGTAGCTAGGTCGGGCCGTATTTGCTGCAATAAAGTGGTCAAGTTGTTTGAGTTTTTGTGGTTTGTTGTTCAAAAGTTCTCTCTTCGGTTTGCCCTTCCCCCCCTTCCCAGCCTGGCTCGGCCTTATTTTAAAATAGCCTTTTTTCTTCCCAGCTCATCCAGTTCTCCCTCCTGTATCAGCAGTTAGTCCCCTTAAGGTGGAGGAGTTTTCCAACGAATTGGCCAGTCATCCCGACCAGCAACAAGCTTCTTATGTCCTCCAGGGTCTCCAGCATGGCTTTCGGTTAGGCTTCCACTCAGCTCACAAGCTTAAGCCAGCTAAAAGAAACAAGCCCTCTGCTCTTCACCATGCCCACATTGTTGATGCGTATGTGGCTAATGAAGTCTCTCTGGGCAGGGTTGCAGGCCCCTTCGCCTCCTTCCCTTTTCCTCGTTTGCATATTAGCAGTTTTGGGGTCATTCCTAAGAAGGGCCAGCCAGGCAAATGGCGCTTGATAGTCGATTTGTCGTCTCCAGGGGGCGCTAGTGTTAACGACGGCATTGATCCTCAGGATTTTTCTCTCCAGTATATTAAGGTTGATCAAGTTATTCGCATGGTCTCCCGTTATGGCCCAGGTGCCCTTATGGCAAAATTTGATGTGGAATCCACTTATCGGAACATCCCAGTTCATCCAGATGACCGCTTCTTACTGGGTATGAGGTGGCTTGGTCAGTTCTACGTTGACCTCTCACTTCCTTTCGGTCTCCGTTCTGCACCATTTATTTTCAATTCCGTAGCTGATATGGTTGAATGGATCCTTCTCCATAAGCATCGCCTTTCCGATCTGTTACCTTATTTGGATGACTTTATTACCGCAGGTCCTCCACAGTCATTCCAGTGTGCTTATAATCTTAACACAGCAATCTCGGTTTGCCACCGGCTGGGGTTGCCTCTTCACGCTAACAAATGTGTGGGTCCAGCCACTTCTATGACTATCTTAGGAATTGAATTAGACTCCGTCAACCAAGTGGCCCGTCTTCCCGAGGATAAATTGGTTGCACTAAGGGAACTCATTCATTCGTGGATGCCTCGTCGCTGGTGCAGAAAGCGGGAATTGGAGTCCCTTATTGGCCATTTACACCATGCTGCTAAAGTAGTTTGGCCAGGGAGAGCCTTTCTCCGTCGTTTTATCGATTTACTGTGCTGCTTCCGTAACAAGGACCATCCTGTTCGGATTAACCAGGAATTTCGTCTTGATCTTCAGTGGTGGCAGCAGTTCCTAGCTTCTTGGCATGGCGTTGGGTTCTGGTTGTACCCTGGCATGTCTGCTGCCACAGATTTGGAGGTCACTTCGGATGCAGCAGGTGCGGTTGGCTTTGGCGCCTATTCTCAAGGCCAGTGGTTTTATAGTGCCTGGTCAACGGTGCAGGCCAGGCAATCTATTGCCTACCAAGAACTTTTTCCTGTGGTTATTGCTGCTCATCTTTGGGGATCCTTGTGGGCCAGGAAGCATGTCCTTTTTCGCTCAGATAACGAGGCTGTAGTTGCGATTCTGACGACCAGGACTTCGAAGGTTCCAGCTTTAATGCACCTTCTCCGTGATCTTCTGTTCTCGGCGGCGCGGTGGGGTTTTACTTTCACTGCTGGAGTCGAGAACAAAATTGCTGATGCTATCTCTCGTTTCCGTTGGCAGGAGTTCAGGCAGCTGGCCCCGGAGGCTCATTCCTGCCCTTGTCCGATTCCGCAGCTCTTGCTGGACAGCTTAACACCTCCTCCCTAGAACAGCAGTGCTTGCATTTCTTGGCCCAGGGTCTGGCTCCTTCCACCCGGAAAGCTTATGCGTCAGGTCAACGCAAGTTCATCGAATTTTGCCGCCAAGCTGGAAAGCTCCACTCCAATGGCTCGCCTTGCCCTGCAGATGAGTGGACTTTATGTTTGTTTGTTTCATTTCTTGCAGATTCGATTCAGCATTCTTCAATTAAAGTTTATTTATCTGCAGTTCGCTCCTTGCACATTGAGCAAGGTTTTCCTGACCCTCTGCTTAATTGCTTGCGGCTTCAACGGGTGTTAAGAGGGGTCAAGCGTTCCCAGGGTTCCCTGGCTGCTCAGCGCCTTCCGATTACTGACAGCTTTCTCTTGGTCATTCATCGGGCGTTGGACCTCAAGGTTTTCGATCATTGCGCCTTTTGGGCAGCCTGCATGCTGGGTTATTTTGGTTTTCTCCGTGCGGCTGAATTTACAGTCCCCAATTTAGCCAGCTTTTCTCCAGCGATTCATCTTTCAGTGGCTGA